GGGGGGGGGGGTGGCGCTGACTTTTCTCATCTTGGCCTCCATTCAACACCAGCTGACAGCCGGGAAGTAGAAGTCGGAAGAAAGCACTCTGTGATGGTGATGCTTACTAAGCCAGCAGATGTGTCAGGGGGCCCATCCTGCTCACCAAAGCATGGTGGGGAACATGGGTGAGGGGAACCTCTCACCGGAGGCCTCAGCAGCGAGGGGTGTGGCACGCAGGTGACGGAGGTGAAGACACTGCCTGGGACGAGTTTGCCAGAACCCACCTGTGTGCGCTCGCAAGCCCAGCTGCCACAAGCAGTGCCCAAGGTCAGGGCTCTTTCCTCTCTCCTCAGAGGCAATGACGGGCCGGGCCCCAGGTCCGTGCCTGCTTGAACCGTCACTGGACACCAGCTCTTCTCTTGAATGACAGCTCTCCGGTCTGAAAGAGGGTGTGGAGTGGTGGTGACGACAGCCACCAGTGGTGGCTGCTTCCTCATGTCAGGCGTGGCCAGTCATGGAATCTACACTGCAGCCTCCTGGGCAGGGTATGTGGTAAGACCCTTCCCCCAAATGAGAATCCTCCATGTATTTCACCTGAGCTTAACCTTGGGTCCAGCCATTTTAGGACAATGGTTTTTAAACTATTTTGGGACACAGGACCCCTTGAAAGCTCAATGCAGACTACCTCTAGCCTCATAAAAATGCACACTCAACAGTTTTCAGATAATTTTGAGTTCTGCTCTCAAAGTCCAGAACCAAGGAGTACCCAAGGGCCAACCTGCCAAGAGGGCCCACCGCTGCTAATAGTGCTATCCCAAAATCGGAGCCTAAAACGTCAGAAGTTTAGGATGGGCACGTGGTGGGATGTTTGTAGTGGAATATTACGGAGCAGTGAGAGTGGACTGAACGTTGCCACAGCACATGAGTGAGTCTCGCGATGTCACGTTGAGCAGAGTGGCCACGAGCTGGTGATGCCAGAGCTCTCATTTACATGAACGGCAGGGCGGTCTGGGGAGTGGTGCTGGGTGTCAGGATGGAGGGTGATGGAACAGGGGGACGGTCATGCCAGGCTAGGGCACGGGGGAGCTCTGGGGAGCAGGCAGCGCCCCGGTTCTTAGTCTGGGTGGTGCTTGGTGGGTGTCCCCTGGAGAGAGACCTCAAGCTGCACAGTTGGGATCACGCACGTTTCCATGGTTTGTGTGTCAGCGACGGCTTTCCAAAACCCCAGCTCGCGAGCGCCTCCCGCCACTCGCAGGTGTGCTCTGCGTCGCCACGTGCAGCCCGCACACCTTTTTTCTGAGGTAGGCCCTGTCACTGTCCTCGTTTGATGGGTGAGGAAAGGGGCTCAGAGATGTGAAGCCGCTTGCCCAAGGTCACACAGCATGTGCCGGCTACAGTGGCGATGCCAAGACTAATGTTTCGACAGTGCAGATGGCCACAGCGTGACTCGCAGTGACGGTGCTCCAGGCCCAGGCCCCTCCCTCCGCCGTAGGAGAGGCTCAGAGTGAGCTCGCCCAGCTTCTTGGGCATCAAGATCTTGATAGGTGTTCCCAAATTGAGTGCACCAGAAAATTCAGTTTCTAAACGTGTTGGCACAGAAGACTTTAGGCCGGACAAGACTGACCAACCACGGTGGCCCGTCCACGCCTGCCCTCAGCTGGTGCTCACCCAGCACCTTCGGCAGGGCTCCAGCTCCCTGCCTGGAGGGTTAGGGATGAGGCATCGTGTCCGGGTTGGGTCTTCCTCGGAACGAGTCACAGCGTCTGGCACTGGGCCAGTTAGCACAAGGTGGCCTCGTCCAGCACGGCAGCTGCCCAATGGCTTGCTGCCCCCACGAGCCTCTCTTTCTTAAACATTTTTATTAATAGTTCAAACACATGGGAGCATATAGACAAATACCCCCCCTCCAGTTTAACTGCTGAATACCTTTAGACCTACACCCGACAAAGGCCTTTCTCGTGTTTAAGTAAGTGTGACGGAGAATGCAAACTGCTCTGGTGCCTGCGCCGGAGATCCCGCGCTGCTGCTCCGGGGAGCGTACAGCTTCCAAAACAGATGCTCGCCAGCGAGCCTCGCGCCGCCTTCCCTAACCCGCAGAGTAACCCTCCCACCAAGGAGGGGGCGGGCGGGGGAGGCCCCAAACCTTGCCTGAGCCGGTGGGGCCGAGGGGCACGGTTAAAGAGCTTTAGCCAAATGGAGTGGGAGTGGATTTGACAGTGCCCTCAGCAGGTCGATTGTTCCGATTTTCAGGGTTATTGAGCTCGAATGTACCGGCAACTGGAAAGAACAGTTGTGGTTGATTTTAGTTCAGCGACCGAAGCCTAACGACAGGATACCCCTGCCTGCCAAGGCCTCCCCTCTCCCCTTCCCTCTGATTTCCTCCTGGAGGCTAATCCGACTCAATTAAAGCCCGGCCAGGGAAGGTGTGTGCAAACACACAGGAGAGCCGCGGCCTTGGTAACCTCCAAGTCCAGTAATTAGGGACCACGGGGTGGCTCTTTTTTTAAGGTGTGTATTTCCATTTCTAAGAGTGGAAATTGGCAAGTGAGGGTCAACCAGGGGACTTGTTGCAGGTGTCCCTCTGCCGTGGGCCTTTGGTCTGTTCCACCTGGTCTCTCATGAGCATGTTCTCGGGTTCCCTTTGTGTGCGTGAAAAAGCTGATGGGTGATCCAGGTGTGTGCGAAGGAACTGATGGGTGATCCAGGTGTGTGCGAAGGAACTGATGGGTGATCCAGGTGTGTGCGAAGGAACTGATGGGTGATCCAGGTGTGTGCGAAGGAACTGATGGGTGATCCAGGTGTGTGCGAAGGAACTGATGGGTGATCCAGGTGTGTGCGAAGGAACTGATGGGTGATCCAGGTGTGTGCGAAGGAACTGATGGGTGATCCAGGTGTGTGCGAAGGAACTGATGGGTGATCCAGGTTGCTGTCCCCCGACCCCCTTAGCACAGTGCGAATGAGCACACCCTGGGCTAGGCAGCCTGGGCTGGAATCCGCTTGTCCCCTCTGCTGCTCTGACAGATTCTGGGCACTGGAGCTGTCCTTTATGTTTTCTTGAGGTGGTCTTCCGTGGCTTGAGGGCTGAGTGTTTGTCCTCAGACAAAGACCCGGGGATGTGTTCCATCCCCATCGGAAGGTTAGGTTAGCAGGAGGAATCCCGGGTCGTCCTTCCTTGGACAGTGGTGGTCAGAGTGCGCCGTTCCCCCCCCACACTGCCCGGTCCCTCCCCCAGCAGCCCCGAGCCCCACGGCACATCTGCGGGGCATCGGCGAGACGTGGTGAGGAGCCAGGGGAAGGCCGCCCCCTTCGGCCTCAGGTGACATTCTGACTCCCGTGCGCCCACCCTGCTTCACCAGCCTGTTCCCCCGGGTTAGCGTGGCTCCCGTGGCTCAGACCCCAACACCCCTTAATGAAGTGGCTTTCTCGCCGAGGATCGAGTGCCGCTCCTGGGGAATGTAAGTCACTAACTGGCTGGAAAACACGGTGACGTGCTCCAGGGTGCCAAGCTGGGTCCAGCCCGGTGTGGCTAACAGGCTAATAAAAATCCACCAATTAATTGTGGCAGCTCAGTGGGAAATTACTCAGTTGTGAACAGGGGGGAGCAGCAGCTCCCGGGGAGGGGGAGACGTTGCCATGGTAACATAGACACAGGTTCTCCTGGCAGTGGAAACGGCCCCGGGAGTGAGAAGGGGCAGACCCACCGCGTCTGACACAGGCTAGGGACCAGGACAGCGGTCGTGGAGACGCCCAGCCTCGCCCCAGGCCTGCAGCTTCTCCAGGCTGAGGGCCCGCCGGCCCCCCGGGTAGAGAAAGGGTTTTCAGAAGGCTCCCTGCTTGGAAACCAGGGAGGCAGCACTCAAGGGCAGGAGGAAAATGCACCCCGTGTGTTTCCCTATACCTCCGACCATGGGCACTTGACCAGCAGCCAATTACGGGGACCTGGGAGGGGCGTGCGGCACATGCAGCCCGGCTTCCATCTCCCCAGAGCTAAGGCACTGGCCGCACAGGAAAGCGAATTCCCGGGGCCCAGGGGACCTGTCGGCAGGAGGCAGGCAAGATCCTGTTACCACTTGCAGTTGTTACAGCTTTTATTTCAAAAGATCCAAGCAGCACATTTCACATTCTGAGCATTGGCAATGCAGCCTTGCTGACACTGGGCAGACACTGGGCCGCCGAGCAGGACCATTGTCCGAAGGGGATGGGCAGCTGGTTCTGAACGGCATCTCGGCACCACAGCAGGGCTTCTCGCCAAGGGGTCTCATGTTAACGGGGTAAAGAGCAAGATTTTACTTTCTCATTTTTAACTTCCAGAGCCATGCTCTGTGCCCCTTGGGAGGCACTCATTCGCAGTTGCACTCGGATGTCAGCCCCAGACATCCCCTGTGGAGACCGTCAACGCTCTGATTACCCCTCTGCACTCCCTCAGTCTGCCTACCTGCAGCCCGCAGCCAGCACAGCCCACTGCCTGCTCGCACTCACGGCCGCCAGGGTCTCGGCTCCATGCCTGGGGGGGGGCACCCAGAACCAGGCACCAGGAGGCACCTGTGAGCTACAACAGCAGTGGCATTTTCTCCCTGACCCCAGACCCAGCCTGCTCTTGGTCACCTCCTTTTGGATACCACCCAGGTTTTCGCTTTAGCAAAGCTGGAAATCAAAAGAAAGCACCCACCTAACCAATCCTACGGCTAATAATACATTATACTAACACCCACCCCTTTTCAGGGTCTTTGAGGTGGGGGGGCCGAGGAGAGACCCTCTCCAGGGTGCCTGGCCCTTCACCGCCGGCCGAAGCGGAAGCGGAAGCCGCCTTTCTTCCTGCTGTAGCCGTTGAGCTCCTCCGCCAGCGTCCCCAGCGGGCTGCTGGCCTTCTCGCCGTCGGCCAGGAGGAAGCCAGCGACCCCCCTGCCCTCATCCTGCCGCCCGAAGCGGAGCCCGAAGCCGGCGCGCTCCCTGCGGGACATCTGCAGCTCCTTGGCCATGACGAGCAGGGCTTGCGGGTGTGGAGCTCCGGGCCCGGGAGAGGAGCCCCGCGGTAAGGGGACGCGGCGCCCCGCAGCCGGGCCGGCCCAGCTCGTGTCGCCTCCGGCGCCGCCCAGGGTGTCCATGGGCTCTTCTCTGCCCAGCAGAGGAAAGCAGGTGCCCAGCGGCAGGAGGAGGAGGCAGGGGAGGAAGTAAGGGCCTGTCATCTGGTCCGGAGGAAAGAGGGAGAAGTTACAGGCTGCCACGTGGGCCACGGCCAACCCTGCCCAGCTCCTTCCCCGGCCAGGCAGCCGGCAGAGCTGTAAGCGGGGGGCTCAGCCGAGTCCCTGCGTTGGGGGACCCGGGTGTCATGTCGTAGGAGGCGGAGGAACTGACCGCACCAGTTAGGCTGGCTCTCCCTCGCCTGCCCCCTCTGGTTTGAGGGCTGTGGCAGCCTCGGGCCTAAGCCCACCGCTGCCAGAATGGCGCTCAGGCGCCCCCGGAGGAGCTGGGCAAGTTTGGGTTCATTTTCCTTCTACTGTTATAATTGACTCTTGAGCCGTATCGTCTCAGGGGCTCAGGGTAGAAAGCTAATAGCGCCGATCTCTCAGTTTCAACTTGACAGTCGACGGGCCCAGCTACACCGTTCAGCGGGGACACTGCTAAAGTCTCTAACACGGAAACAAACAGGCTGCTCCCGAAAGCAGCAAACAGATTTGAGGAACCTGGTCTAACTCGGGTACCCACCTGGAGAGAGAGAGGAGCATGTAGACTTGGCCGGGCCGTCGGTGGTCCCCACCTCATCTTCACATGAAACCTAACTTTTAGGCACTGTTACTCCCCTTTTTTCACCAAGAAAACTGTCAGAAAGGCTACGAGACTGCGCCTGTGTCATAGGCTAGAAAGCGAAGGCCTCGTGACTAACGGCCGGTGGGTCTGAAACTCCTCGCAGCCCTCCAGGAGGTTTTACTTATCTCCTGTTCGGGGGGCAGCAGGCTCAAACAGGGGACTTGCCCGAGGTCTCACAGGACAGTGATCCATGGGTGTCTGAACCCGGACTAGAGCTTCCCGACGTGGCCCTGCCTGGGCCGTGACCCCTCGTTCCCTTGCCAAGGAGGCTGTTCTGGTAACGACGGCGGGGAGGCAGGGCTGGCTGGCCCTGGGAGGGGAGCCGAGGCCGGACAGAGGACTGGATCCCGAGAACACGGCCCAGACTCCCGGAGCTCTCTCCACAAGTGCCCCCCTGGGAGACACTTCAGAGTTCACTCGGCCAGGACGCTCTACAGAAACCACGAAGGCAGCCTCCCGGGCTTCTCTCGCCCCGGGCTGGAGCAGCCTCCCCGCCCCAGAGAAGCCCTGCCTCGGGCCTGGGTGGACTGGGCTTCCCACAGGTGTCCCTCCCACGGGGCGCACTGCCCACAGCTGTTTGAACGGGGCAGCGTCCCACCGGGTTGATGGATCCACCTGAGGATGGCCTGCGTCTTGAGAAGGGGACACCCTGATGCACTGAAGGAAGTGGCCTCCTCACCTTTGGGGGGTCGTGGGCCTGTTCTAGAACCTGGTGGAAGGTCGGGACACTCGCCACCAAAAATTGGGCCCCAGCACAAGTCGGGCCTTCAGGCCGCAGCGTCCAGGACGTGGCAGGAGGAGCACAGGGTGAGGACCCAGGCTGAGCCCTGAGGGCGGCTCCGGCCGCCAGGTGAGGCGCTGGGCTCACCTCCCCGGCCTGAGCGGGGCTCCTGCGGGGCGTGGGGGCTGTACTCACCGCGCTGCGGGCCTGCTCCCAGGAGGGCTGCTGGGCTGGGGTCCAGCAGGTGCGGCTCCCGGGCCCTCCCTGCCTTATATAGGCCCTGCGTGGGCTTGCGGCCGCCTTGTGCTCCGCTGTGCATTCCTGGCCCTGGGATTCCATTGGGGGCGCTGGTGGCGAAGGAGGGGGCAGTGCCGGCTGCATTGACAAAAGGCCCGACGCAGGATGTGACCTGACGAGGGGCAGATGGGCGCCTGTCCCCGAGGCCGCCTCGGGCGGGGGCAGTGGGCAGCAGCACTGACTGAATGACGGGCTTGGGCCCCGAGTGTGGCGGAGGCGGCCTTGGTGCCCACCCCTCCCGATCCCGCCATCCCGCCGTGTCAGGGCCGCCTGGCTCCCGGAGCTGGGGGCCGCGCCTCCCCCGCCTCCCCCTGGCCGCAGCTGCTCCGGCCGGGAGCTCAGGCACCTGTGAAACCACCGGCTTTCCCACTCGGCAGGCGAGCAGCCGTTCGGTGCCACGGTTCCCTGGCTCCAGAGCCTCCCGAGGTGTTGGTGCCGAGAGGCCGAGCAGGGGCGGGACCCCCGCTTCCTACGAGGAAGCACAAGGGGCCCGGAGCCCCCTGTAACCCCAGGCCTGGCGCGGCGCCTCCGCAGCCGGGAAGGCTCTTTGCGCAGCAGCGTTGGCAGGGGAGCCGGGCGCCTGCTCCCACAGGCCGGAACCCTGCTGGAGGCGGGTCAGCGCCACATCCAGGATGCCCCGGCTGACCAGCAGCCTGTCCTTGCTCCCGAAAGTGGGCTGGGACTGGGCGAGGGCAGCCCCGTGCTGCCGAGCCAGCCCGTGCCCAGCTCTCGGGCTCCCCCCACCCTTTGGCCCCACATAAGCCCCGAGAACCAGGTCCCACCCCCGTCAGCCACACACCAGCTGTGGCCTCTGCCAGCTCCTGTCACTTTCTGAGCCTCCGGTTCTCCACCTGGGTGGGGGTAACAGCAGTGCCCACAGCCTGGGGGTGGTGAGCTACTGAGGGAGGTGGGGAGGCAGCTGCTGCTGGTGCCCAGGAGCCCGGACGGCGCCCCGTGGGCCCAGGCCTCCGGGGGCGCTGGCTCCTCTTTCCACGGGACCCCTCCCGTGCTGCGTCAGGCAGTGTGTGTGGCTAAACTGCAAGCACCCTTGTCAGCCCTGAGACCCTCACTGAACCTTCCCAGGTGCCCTGTGAACCAAGCCAGCGCAGCCACCTGATGAGGGGACAGCCACTGGACGGGTTGTGGCTGCAGGGGAGGGGCTGAGCTGGGCACAGCCATCGCCTGGGAGAGGTGTGGCCTTGGAGAGGCAGATGGCCATGGTCACCTCAGTCAGCTCCAGTGGCCTGGCTCCTCCCCAGGTGTCCGTGCGGGCCCGACACAGAGCTGCCCGAGTGAGCAGGACTCTGTGCCTGGTGACCGAGGACACCGGAGGGGACTAGTGTTCCCACCACACTGCGGGGCCGAGCGGACGGTGGCCTTGCCTGCCACACACGCCGGGTGAGCTGTCGGCCCAGGGCCTGGACCCCATGGGGCCTCCCACGCAGGCGCTCAGTAAATCCTGGTTTATTAATAAGCTCAGGGACTATTCTGTCCTTAAGCCTCAAACTGGTTTTATGAACAAATAGCCATCAGGGGCTGTTCTTCATAAAGACTCGCAGCGCCTCAGGACTCCAGCCCCAGGGACCCACAGGGACAACTTGTCACCCTGAGGACCCTGCTGGGACACACAGGTAGAGCGGCTCAGGTTCCCCCCCGAAGCCCAGCCCTGGGGTTCCAGGCAGTGTGGGAGGCCGCCCTGGGACCTGGTGTCTGCCCCGCCTTGTGCTCCCGTGGACGCTGAGCAGGCTCAGAGGCGAGGCCAGGCTGCGTCACCACCAGACTTTATTGGAGACAGGAACACACAAGGCCAAGGGATCCCCGCCGACGGGCACCCACCCCCCGCACACCATGCTCTGTCCACCGGGAGCTCCCTCCC